CCCAGGCTGGGGTGCAGTGGCACCATCATAGCTCACTGTAACCTCCAATTCCTAGACTCAAGCAATCCTCCCACCTAAGCCTCCCAAGTAGGTGGTCTACAGGTGCCCACCACCACACCCTGCTAATTTTTACATTTTTTATAGAGACAGGGTCTTGCTATGTTGCCCAGGCTGGTCTTGAACTCCTGGACTCAAGTGATCCTCCTGCCTCCACCTCCCAAAGTGTCAGCATTACAGGTATAAGCCACCATGCCCAGACCGATTATTATTTTAATGGCTACATTTTATTCCATGGAATGATTTGGGCCATCACTGATTTGGTCTGGTCCCTCTTGTTGAACACACAAATTGCATCTGACCTTGTTTACATGTAACTTGGAACACTGTTGAAATCCAGGTACTTCCGATAAAAATTTCCCACACTTATACTAATTTCATTAAGTTCACAGAGGTAGAATTTTTGGGTAATAGAACATTATAATTTTCTCAAATTATCACCTGTTATTCTGATAGGTAGGAAAACTTGTGATAATTTATTTTTCTTTGCTAATTGGCAAGACTAGACATTTTTTGTATATGTATTGAGCAATTGTTTTTCTTCTTTTGTGAGTACCTGTTCACTCATGTCCTTTAACTATTTTTCTGTTTAGGGTGTTTATATTTTTCCTCTGGGTTAGTAAAGGGTCCTAATATATTAAAGATATTAACATTCAAGTGTCGCACATGTTAAAATATTTCCCTGATTTTTTTCGTAGTCAGCACACCCATTCTGCAGTTACAAATAAGGAATGAGAAATTTTCCTCATTTGCATTTTTCTCCCTCAAATAATATGTTTTGACATATAGAGATTTTAAACTTTAATTTAGACTATCAAGTATTTATTACATGGTTTTTGCTTTTGTTTATAGTGGTTAATAGCTAGAAAGTTCTTCAGGTTTCTTTTCAAGGTTCATTAGATTTGAAAACATTTTGCTCTTAAACAAGTAATGGAGCCAGGTACAGTGGCTCACTCCTGTAATCCCAGCAGTTTTGCAAAGTCAAGGCAAGTGGATCACTTGAGATGAGGAGTTCAAGACCAGCCTGGCCAACGTGGTGAAATGCCATCTCTACCAAAAATACAAAAATTTGCCAGGCCTAATGGTGCATGCCAGTAATTCCAGCTATTCAGGAGGCTGAAGCAGGAAAATTGCTTCAATCCAGGAGGCAGAAGTTGCAGTGAGCCGAGATCCTGCCATAGCACTCCAGCCTGAGCAACAGAGCAAGACTCTGTCTCAAAAGAAAATCACAAAAAACAGTAACGTATGTACATGATAAAAACATGTACATGTGTTTATTTTAAAAAGCAAAAGCCTGGTCAACAGCCAAATAGATAAAGAAAATGTGATACATGTACACAATGGAGTACTATTAAGCCATAGAAAAGAATGAGATCCTGCTGTTTCCAGTAACATGGATGGAACTAGAGGACATCAATGTAAAGTGTAATAAACTGACACAGAAAGACAAACACCACATGCTCTCACTTATTTGAGGGATCTAAAAATCAAAAAAATGGAGCTCATGGATATACAGAGTAGAAGGATGGTGACCAGAGACTGGGAAGGGGAGTTGGGGGGGTGGGTTGGGGAAAGTTGGGATGGTTAATGAGTGAAAAATAATAGAATGAAGAAAGCCTAGTATTTGCTGGCACAACAGGGTGACTATAGTCAATAATAATGGTACATTTTAAAATAACTAAATAGTATAATTGGACTGTTTGTAACACAAAGGATACATGCTTGAGAGGCTGGATGCCACATTCTGCTGACGTGGCTGTTACGCATTGCATGCCGGTGTCAAAACATCTTGTGTATTCCGTAAATATATACACCTACTATGTGTCCACAAAATTTAAAAATTAAAAAGAAAAGCAAAAGGCTCTCTTCCACCTGTCTCTATCTCAGTTCCTCTCTCTGGAGCTCATGGCAGTTGCTGATTCCTTGAACACTTATCATCTCCCTAGCGATGGGCTCTACATACACATGTGTGTGCATGTGCTTTTCAGAACACAATCCGTAATATGTTACACGCTGTTGTGCATCTTGGATTTTCTTCCTAGCACTCCATTCCAGCTGCCGTGGCCTCCTTGCTGGCCCTGACCCCGAGTCTTGCCCATGCTGTTTCCTCTTTGTGGATGGACTTCTCCCCAAGGATCTGCACAGCTCACCCCCTTGGTTCCTCCAGATCTCTACTCCAATGCCACCCTCTCAGGAGGTCCTTCCCTGGGCGACCTCACCACACCCACCCTCACACTCCTCTCTTCCCATCCCTCCTTGATTTATTATTCTACCAGGTACTGACCATGGCCTCACGTAAGACACAGTTCCCTGTGGACTTGTCCATTCTCTGCCTGCCCTGACTAGAGTAGCAGCTCCTTTAGGACAGGGACTGGTCTATTTTGTCCATGTCTTCATTCTTGACTCACAGAGAAGTGCCAGCACCATAGTCCAGTCTAACAAATACTCATTGAGTGAATAAATGAATGACCAAAAAGTGCTTCACACAATTCCTGACCCCAAAGGTGCTCTATAAATGGGAGCTGCAGCTGTGCTGCTGCTGTGTAGGATGAGAACAATGAGGACACCCACCAGGAGGCCTGCAGTGGGATTTAAGTTAAGCCACATGAGTTGAAGGGGTTGTAGAACCATTAAATGCCTCAGGAATGAGTGGCAAGAGCTGTTATGCAAGGCTGTTTTTTTGTTTGTTTGTTTTGTTTTTTGTTTCCTCCAAATTTGCTTTATGTAATTGGGTGGATATAAATTAATAAACAGAAGTTTAAGCAAGATACATGTAACAATTTAACAGAACCTGATAATCTAATTTCTTGCAATTTTTCTCAAATTCATCTTTAAGTCTTTCCATCATGGGGCTCATAAGGAAATTTAGCCAACATATGGATACTACAGTTGAATGTCAAATTTTTACAAAGTACTTAATGACATACTATATTTCTCTATAATGCAGTTATGAAGAATCTTCATGACATTGTTTTGTATGTGGAAAAGTGTTAGAGTCCAATATTCAACTCAAAATAAAATAATAAGAAACACTTCTGATGTTAGGTTGCGACCACTTTTCCTTTTGCTAATGAATGACATTTTTAGCTGTAATATCACTGACATGAATAAGTGACCTTTGAGTACATACGATAAAAAAAACACATTCTAAATGGATAAAACATTACTACTACATCTTTACTAGACCATCTCTATCTCTAACACTTCAGAAGCTTAAAGATTTAAAGTATTCTTACATTAACTGCAAGAAACAAAGGAGAAATTCCTTCTTTTCTGAGATCAAAACTATGAAGTCATGTGGTTATACAAATTCTGCGTTTGTGTGCAAAATATAAAATACAATTACCTTTATTCTCCCTGCTTAGTTCTGTCAGTTAGCTAGCAGGATGTAATAGATTCCTTTCTAAGAAACAGAGACTGAGATGTGTTTTATAGAACTTTAATAACCTCAGTTATAAGGCTGATTGTTAATAAGCTTTTTATTTAGTAGGTTTCTTGACAAGACTTTGTGGGTTGTGTGGACCAGTCCCTGGGTCTCAATATAGCTACCTGCCTGTCCAGAACAACCACATGCACATTGGTTTGTCCCCCACAGGATGCAAAGCTTCCTCTCCGTGTCCTGCCCACCAGCCCAGTCCTCTGCTCTGAATGTAGGTCCAGGAGCCTGCGCTCTCACCATGCCCAGGACTCTGCACTCTGTGCCCAGCCTCTTCCTCCACTGAAGTTACTACTGGTGTCTCAGGGCGCCTTTCAGGGTTATTCTCCAAAATAAACCTGTCTTCGACTGTTGAGCCACTTTGCATGTTTCTTTCCTCTTTCTTTAACTCTTACAGTGAGACCTAGTCTCTACTAAAAATTTTTAAAATTAGCAGGCCCTGTGGCATGTGCCTCAGGAAGCTGAGGTAGGATGATCACTTGAGCCCAGGAGGTTGAGGCTGCAGTGAGCTATGATGGTGCCACTGGCTGTGATGGTACCACTGCACCCCAGCCTGGATAACAGAGCAAGACCCTGTCTAAAAAAAGGGGGTGGGGGAGGAAGACGAAAAAAATGTAAAAAATAATAATAATAAATAAAATGTTTAAAAAGGGGAGAAAGAGTAATAAATTGGGAAAATGTGACAAGGACAATCAAAAGGGCTTGGACTAGGTAGTTAATTGAGTACAGAACTAATTAGGAAGATAAGGGTTAGCTTAACAATGTTTGCACAGATTTCTCTGGGCTTCAACTTCCCATTCCTGATGATGACAATGTGAGCTTCCTTCCAGTATAAAGAGGACATCTTGCATATGGGGGTTTTATCTCCTGTTTTCAAAAAGAAAAGGGGGAGGGTCAGAGCACCATTCTTTCTTCCTCTTTTTTTCTTTTTAATACCTTTAGCTCACAATAATCCTTATGCCAAAGTGGCATATTTTGGGGTGGCCTGTTCCGAACTCCATCATTGTCATGTTTGATAATGGCTGCTACCGCCAAGCTACAGCAGTCTTCTGCATCCCTCTCCCCTGAGAGTTTGATGACCAAGGCCTCCTCTATTCTGGAAACCTTAGCAATGCACTGCTCGGTTCTATCATCTCTGTAACATGCCATCTGCCTTCACACAAGCCACAGACACGAGGTCACACTTCCCTAGAGACACCCTAGCCATCCTGTGTTAAACAGCTAGTGATTCTAGGAAGGAGGGGAGGGGGGAGACACTACTTCCTGTGAATCAGGATGAAATCAACTTTCATCAAACCCAGACAAAATAGGACCAGGAAGCCCCAAGGGAGAGGAAGCTCATGCTTACAAGTCTGAGATAAGAACTGTTTCCAATAAGCCCCTAGAAACATTTCCTATCTCTCCTGCTTTGATACAGCTTATCACTAAGCATTCTTTACAACTCCTGTACTTTAGATAAGATGGTCTCAGATGAACACTTGCTCAGTAAGTGCATCTCCACCGGTGCAGTGACAGCTCTCTAACTTTGAATCTTCAGAACCAATGAACTCTGTTTCTAAGCCGTTTATGTAAATTGCTTCTTTGCCAATAAATGCTCTCCTTTCCCTTTCCCTCTCCGAATGCACTGGTGGCTTGTCCTTTCCTGTATTCCAGATTATCATTCTGATTTCTACTCCCAAGTAAACCCAGCATATTTGGAGATGATTTTCTCTAGTGTCTTTTTTTAGGACACTTGTATAGTTGGTTGTTCTCATTGCATGGAGACTGTACTTGCTCATTCCTTCTCAGATGTAGATTCAACTTCACATTTTATGACACCTCCTGACATCACATCATATCTGCTGGAGAGGTACCTTTTCTCCTGATGATCTCCAACCTCACTCCCTGTAGTTTCTGTCTTGTGATCACAGATGGGCCTTTGAGAAAAGATGGGTCAAATATTGGCATGTGCAGAAGTTTTGTTTGATGCATTTGTCTGACAAACAGTCTTTGTCATTAACTATCTTCTTTTTTACATTTTAATTCTTCTTATTATTATTTTGTGAGATGCAGTGTTGCTCCTGTTGTGCAGGCTGGAGTGCAGTGGTACGAGCTCCCCTAGTGCAACTTCCACCTCCCAGGTTCAAGAGATTCTTCTTCAGCCTCCTAAGTAGCTTGAATTACCGGCATGCGCCACCATGTCCAGCTAATTTTTGTATTTTTAGTAGAGATGGGATTTTGCCATGTTGGCAAGGCTGGTCTCGAACTTCTGACATCAGGTAATTCACCCGCCTTGGCCTCCTAAAGTATTGGGATTACAGGTGTGAGCCACCACACCTGGCCTGTCATTGACTATCTTCTGATGGCACAGCAAATCCTTCCTTTTAGTCTTAACCCAGACTTATCTTATGTTCAGAAAATACAAATTTCCATGCCCCACAGGATTCGTCTTTTCTAAATTGATAAATGGCTGGTCTTTTAATCAAATGAACATACATTGCTGCCTTCCATGGGACACAAGTGCTACAGAAAAAACATTATGTGTATCTGTTTATGTTATGCTTTTTATGTGTATCTTTTGTTTTTGCCACAATTTTACAATAAGCCTTTAAAACATTTCACTGTACCAAACCATATTATATCTGTTAAACAGAAACTGTTGTAATCACAGCATCTCGGGGCCAAAGTGGCCCTAAAAGGATCCTGTGCTCTGATTTTAGACAAAGGACTGAGATTGAGGAACTCAAATGATTTGCTACTAAGTGCAGAATCCCATACACTGTCAGAGGGAAGTCACCACAGTCTCAGAAGCAGGACAAAGGACAGATGAAGAATGAGATTAAGAATGAGAGCAGGCAGATGTCAGGTCATCATTGGAGGTACGGAAATAGTGGGACCAGCCTGCGTACCTCGCAGGGCTATTGTGAAGGTTCAGGGAATTGACAGTTGGGAAAGAGTGAATATAAAGTACCCTGTAAACCAGGCCTTCCTCGCTATTTAGAAGGAAGAATGTTCAGGAGTTCCTTGCGAATGGCTATTCATCTAATTTTTAACCTCTGGGGATGTGCCATGCTTGAAATAGGACATGGCGTTTTCCAGCAGAAGCTCGGTCCTGCTGACAGTTGATGCATTAGGTCCCTGTGGAAGAGAACATGCTGTTCCCCATCACAAGCTAAAACCCGATGGGCTGCTTGAAGAGGGCCTTTGGAAGCCCAGCTTTGAGATGAAGTTTTCCTAATGGATATTGTTCCTGTTGATAATTTCTCACAGAGCCTATGCAGCCAAATAAGAACAGTCATGGCACATTTTTCTACTGTGCCTGAGGCTCACACCTTCCATCTGCTGAAGTGCTGTTTCTGAGAATTTGAGCCACAGCCTCTGTGGGAGGAGGGGTTATCTTGCCCCACCTAAGGATGATGGACTCTGATGGATGTCACCCATCGTGTGAGCTGCTTGGCACCACATCTTTGACTACAGTCACACTCTCCCATCTGTGGGTCAGCCCTACAAGCCCCAAAGAAAATCTCAAGGTCCATGGAGTCACACAGCCCTTGGGGTGATTCTATGGCAGGGTTGCCATTCATTCCTAGAGCTTTTTGTATGTTGTTTGTTTTTGGAGATAGATTCTTGCTCTGTTCCCCAGGGTGGAGTGCAGTGGTGCGGTCTCAGCTCACTGCAACCTCAGCTTCCTGGGCACAAGCGATTCTTGTGCCTCAGCTTCACAAGTAGCTGGGACTACAGGTGTGCACCATCACATGTGGCTAATTTTTGGAGTTTTGTAGAGACGGGGTTTCACCATGTCACCCACGTGGGTCTCCAACTCCTAATCTCAAGTGATCTGCCTGCCTTGGCCTTCCAAAATGCTGGGATTACAGGCATGAGCCACCGTGCCCCGCCACAATTACCGGTATTAAAAGAACCTTAGACAAATTCAATTTGACAGCGTTTAATTGAGCAAATAACCATTTGTGGGAATCAGGCAGCCTCCAGGCAAAAATAGTTTCAGAGAGACTCCTGAACTGTCTCATAGCTGAAGCTTTATGGCCAGAAAAAGGAAAGTGACATACAGAAAGTAGAAGTGAGGTACAGAAATAGATGGATTGGTGATGGCGTGGTGTTCGGCTTATTCGAGCCCAGTTTGAACAGCTGGCCACCTGTGAGTGGCTGAAGTCTGGCTGCTGTGATTGACCAAGACTCAGCTACTTGGTCTGAGAGCAGGTCACAGTCTGTTTACATGTCCAGTTAGCTTACAGTTCACTATGTACCGAGAAACCTTTAGGGTGAATTTAAACTATGTAAGGAGAAGGCTTTAGGCTAAACTTGATTTAATACCAGGATCGGCAGGGGCTCCCTCACCAGTCTCCAGGCTAACGGCTTATCTCCCATCCACTTCCTCTCCCATCCTGCTCTAGATCCTTTCCAGACCATGATCTCTTCCCTTAAATCTCTCACCCAACTGCCTACTTTATATCCAGAACATAATCTTACTTCATATCTGCAGAGACCAGAGGTGAAAACTGCACCCCTAGCCCCACCCTGCACATTGCCCTTGGCTGGCTCCTGTTCTTTCCATTCTTCCTCTGGGTCCCTTTCTCACCCCAAACATGCAAAACAAATCCCATTCCACCCATCTGCCCCCATTCTTTCCAAGGGACTCCCTCCATGAAAGCCAGCCTCCCCATGACAAGTAGGCATGAAGGGACAGAAGGAAAAGTGCTCAGTGTTCGAGGAATGCGCAGTTCCCAGCCTGGCAAAAGCCAGCCTCCCTGAGGTCCACTTACACTCCAGCAGTTTTAGTTTGTAGAGCTTGATCTTTGCAATATCCTGTGGCAGGAATCATTTGTGTATGCGTCAGGATTCTGTTCTGTTGGAAACTGAATGAAAATGAGCATGGGCAAAAAGAAACGTTTTCAGCTCAGGTGTTAAGTCCAGAAGTGGATCAGCTTCTGGATCGAGGGGCTCAGTCCAGGAAAGGCATTATGAGAGTTTTCACTGTGCAGAAACCAGAAAGACGAACTCTGCCTCCATCCACAGATTCCTTTCTGCCTAATCTCTTGCTTCTAAAATACAATAAGAGAAATTCTTCATGCCAAAAGATGCAGCAGAGGGTCTTTTTACATCAACAGAAATGCTGTAGGGTGAACCCCCTACGTGGGGTGAGGGTGGCAGTGGGATAGAGATCCTGGAGATCCAGGCAAAGAACTGACTTGGAAAAGGAAGCCACCAATAGAACAGTGAGAACAAACACTGTAAATACTGCGAGCCACAGCTACTCTGGATAAGGTGTCACAGGAGTGCACTGGAATGCATTGAGGCTGACAAGCTGGGGACCAGGAAGACTGCTGGTAAATAATCTTTCTTATTTTCTGTAAGGAACTTGGAAAGCTTATCCAGAGAGGTGTGAAAACAGCAGAGAAAGCACTGGAACAAAGAAACCAAGCCAAAGCAAACATGTTCAGGATTAGTCACTGAGAAACGTAAGAAACCAAAACCAAGTTTTGTCCCAGAGAAAAGGGAGACTCAAATATCCCCTTGGAGGTCTGGAAGCTTCTTGTGTGTCAAGTGGATTCAAGGGTATTTGGTCAAGGATCATGTGTTTATGAAGCAGGAGCGGCCACAAACCAACCTCTCAAACACAGAACAGGGAAGGAAGTGGTGATTTATTCAGCTGGGAGCTGCAGCAGGTGAAAATACCTTAACAGCCGAGCTCCTCGACAAAGAAAATCCTTGCCCTTTTAAAGCCTTACAATTCTAGAAATTACATGTGAAGGGGTCTTGATCCGTGAAGTAGGCATGGGGTATGTGACTAGGTAGGGGTTTGATCGTGTTTAAACAAAAACAATGCCTTCCAGAAAGATTCCTCCATACCATGCCTGTGATCTACAGGAGTGGGATTGAGGGTGGTGCCCAGTCTGCCAGCCTTTATTTATCCTATTGAAATGCAATGTAGAAGTCTGTGGGGAAGGGCTCTTAGAAGCTTAAGAGGATTAAGGGTCTGCTTCCTCATTTACAGCTTAGAGCAACTGTGCACAGAACCAGAAACCGCCTGCCTCCCATACTTTCAATGGGTTGTCCCAGAGACCGCTCCCTTATGTGAAGCTGAAGCTTGTCTTGTGTTGAATGTAACACAGTCACAAGAAGGCTCTGGTGACAAGGCGCTTGTTTTTTCTTCCTGGAAGTGGTATTCCTTTTTTTTTTTTTTTTTTAGCCACAAATCACAGAAGTGCTATTCAAAGTGTTGAACAGCCAGTATGGCTCAACCACTCACCCTTCAGTACAGCCACTAAGGCAGGAACGGTCATGAGAAACAGACCTCTCAGGCACTGAACTAGAGAGGAAGGGGTGATTTATTCGGCGGGGAACAAGGCAGCATAGCTGCCTAATAGCCGAGCTCCTGTAACAAAGAGAAGCCCTGCCTTTATATAGGCTTACAACTCTAGAAATTACACATGAAAGGGTCTTGGGTTTACAGCTTTAGAAATTACATGTGGAAGCGTCTTGGTTCATGGAGTAGGCATGGGGTATGTGGCTTAGATGGGAGTTTGATCTTGTTTAGGTAAAAACAATGCCTTCTGGAAGGATTCCTCCATACAATGCCTTCCAACTATAGGAGAGATTGTGGTAACCAGTAGGAGTCTTATTTTTACCCTGGCTGGTGGCGCCAACCAGTCCCCCTTCTGGCTTCTCCTTTTCAGATGCAATGCAGAAGGCTGAAGAGGATTAAGGGTCTCCTTCCTCACTGCCAGCAGTCAGTCTGGGTGACCCTGCTGTGCCAGGTTCTACTCCTTCTGTTTCTGCATGATGTTCAGGTCTGGAGGGGCCAGGGGATCCAACATGCAGCCATGTACCCACCAGTGTATCTGAACTGATACATACCAGCATCACAGGCCCTCATTCTCCTCACGGAGCACACGCAAAGTAAATGCAGCTGCTGAATCAGAGAGAAGAACACCAGCTAGCAGCCTTCTGTCCTCACCATGAGCAGTGCCTTCCAGAACCATCCCAGGGTGGAGGCCTGAGAGGTGGGAAGGGAGCCTGAACCGCTCATGTCTACACATGCATTACCTCAGGGATTTCTCAGCAACACGACAAAACAGGCCATCTCACTCCAACTTTACCAGCGGGGCATTGAAGCTTCAGATGGAGACATCTATTCAAGGTTTTCAGATGGTGAGAAAGAACAAGAATCTGAACCCAGGCCTGAGATGAAGCAGGGACCAACTTTTAGGAGCCTCTGCCACTGCCCCCAACTCAACCACCAAGCATGGAAACAAAGGAAAATCTTGAGTTCCTCCCAGGGAAATTCCAGATACTCAGCTCCCCTGAGAAGTAAATAAGTAACTTGTTAGGCAGGAAGGTATTAGTCCAAAACAATAGCGGAGGAAATCAGAGTCCAGAGATGTTTGCTTTCCCTTTAGAAACATCTTAACATCTTAACACACAACCTTGAGTTCGTCTCTCAGAAACCTGGACTCGCACCAAATGGATTTGCTGGCCTGCAGACCTCAGATAGAGGAAGCTGAGGGCTGCAGTCTGACCACCTTCCTGTCTTCTAAATTTCTTCTGGTGGGACCTGGAAGCCACACCTATGAGCTAAATCTAACACTCTTTTCTGCTAACCCCAAATTTTTAGACAAGGCATCACCTCCTGAATCAACTACAAATCAAAGAACCTCTGAATCCACCTGTGACCTGTAAGCCCCTGCTTCAAGATATCTTGCCTTTTTGGGACAAACCCATGTGTACCCTCCATGTGTAGCAGGAGCAGCTGCAAGAAACAAATCTCTCAAACACCGAACTGCGAAGGAAGAAGTTTATTATTATCATTATCATTATGGCCTGGAGCTGGGTGATGATTTGTCTAGCTAACCCAGCTTGTCTAGCTAAACCCAGAGCCCCTAAAAAAGAGAGGCTCTGACTTTATATAGGCTTACACTCTAGATATTACGTGCGAAAGAATCTTAGGTTTACAGCCTTAGAAATTATGAGTGAAAGGGTTTTCGGGTTTACAGTTTTAGGAATCACATGTGAAAAGGTTCTGGTCTCCAGAGGGAGGAGTGGGGTGGGAGTTTGATCTTTTTTAAGTAAAAACAGTGTCTTCTGGAAAGTTTCCCCAATACCAAGTGTGCTATTTACAGGAAGGTGATTCAGGAGGTGCCAGTCAGCCAGCCTCTTCTTTTATTGAAATGCAGTGTCGAAGTCAAGGGGGAGGTGATCCCAGATGCCTGGGTCTCCTTCCTCATCGCCCCCACCTTGAGACCCTCACCACTCTATAATATTAGTGAGAGGTCTCACTTTCATTCTCATTTTCCAGATCCTCTGAAGAAACTGATTGATAATGATTCATATAATATACTTGTGATGTCATTTTTTTGGCTAACTACAGTAATGATAAATCCCCTGATCATCTGAAGGAACAGGGGGAGTAAACAAGGAAGTAACAAACAAATGCCTATCATTATTATAACACTTATGATGAGAGTCTTGAATCCTCCTAAGGATGAGAACCAACCTCCAAATAAGGACTCAGGGTTAAATCCATGCCATACCTGCACAGGCACATGTGCCAGTTTGGTCATGTGTCGAACAATATCCTCCACTGCTTGACCCTGGTCATCTATGTGTAGGCAGCAGTTGGTTAGATTGAATTTTCCACAGGTTTCTCCTTCAGCTGCCAGCAAATAACCTAGGGCCAGCTGTTTCTGATAAATCACATTCCTCATTTGAGTTTCTTGTTGGGCCAAAAGAGACAGAGCTTTCCCGTTTCATTAGTGAGTATTTCCAAAACGGCCTGCAACTGGATGATCCGGTTAAGCATGTAAATAGGAGTCCAGTATCCCCATGAGCCATCCTCCACCCATGTGGCCAGCCCATGATACTCAATAATTCTCTCCAGTGGCCATTCATCATCTGTCCATTCTATTTTTTTTTTTTTTTTTTTTTTTTTTTTTTTTTTGTTTTTTTTTTTATTCATCATCTGTCCATTCTATTTTTTTTTTTTTTTTTTTTTTTTTTTTCTTTTTTTTTTTTTTTTTTTTTTTTTTTTTGAGACGGAGTTTCACTCTTGTTCCCCAGGCTGGAGTGCCATGGCGCGATCTTGGCTCCCCGCAGCCTCCGCCTCCTGGGTTCAGGCAATTCTCCTGCCTCAGCCTCCTGAGTAGCTGGGATTACAGGCACGTGCCACCATGCCCAGCTAATTTTTTGTATTTTTAGTAGAGACGGGGTTTCACCATGTTGACCAGGATGGTCTCGATCTCTTGACCTCGTGATCCACCCGCCTCGGCCTCCCGAAGTGCTGGGATTACAGGCTTGAGCCACCGCGCCCGGCTGTCCATTCTATCTTTAGGTTTCTTTTCTCCCTAGCGGAGTAGACTGGATGCCCTAAGAGCTCACCTGTCTTAACAGATAATAGGAAAAAAGAAGGCTTAATGGTGCCTATGACATAGCTACCTGTCCGTCTTTCAGGCAGCTGTATGTATGCTCTACATCTGCATATCCAGTACAACCCAGGTGGGGCTGTCCAATCTCTCTGGTACCCAGGATGATCCCAAGCATCCTGTAATTTTGGAAATTTTAGGAGGGGGTTCTTCTCTGTATAGTTTGAGCTCCACCAGGTTACAGTGCCCATGGTTCCATTTATACAATTGCTGCCCTAAGCAGCTAAGCTTCCCTACTGGAATAGTGAAGGCTGCTCCTTCTCTGGCCAAACAGTATTGTCCAATAACTGAAACCTTTAAAACCCAGAAACTGTTGGTTTGAATCCTTCGAACTGAAGTCATGTCCGGGACAGGGTCAGAAGGTAATAGCTCACGGGTTTCTCATGGCCACCAGTCACCCATGGTCGTTCCTCCACATACATAGCAAGAAGTGACATTGAGGGAATGGGCCACATTTTCAGCAAGTTGGAGGAACAAGTTCTTTGTCTTTTTCAGAAGCTCCAGTATTTGTTCATTTAATATATCATAAAAGTGCTGGTACA